AATTGCCAGAACAAAACACAATAAATCGTGACAATGGAAATAGTGGATCTGAAATTGAAGACGTTGATTTAAATAAAAAAAAAAAACTAATCAAAAAAAAGTAAAAGTTAAAACCATAGCAGGGATTTCAAGATTTTATTACTGGGAATAGCCAGTAGAAAGTGAATTAGCTAGGTTTATTCATGCTAAAGAACTGCTTAATATAGAGTTATGGAAAAATTTTTCACAAGCAGAAATAGACAAATTATCTAATTTTCTGATTACTTATCCAAAGCCAATAGTTTCAGCATATACAAAACCCATATCTGATTGGACAATTCCAATTCCTAAGATACAAGGTATATTATATTCAAATAAATAGCTAATAAAAAAAAATAAATAAATAAAATTGATTGCTTGTAGTAAACTTTAGTTTCTACGAGTAATAGTATAATCAAAGACATAGTAATAGAGGGTAAGTTGTAACCTTATGAACTATTTACAGTTACTAACTTATATTGTTTATAAAATAGACATCATATATTTCAATAGTGGAAATGATCATCAAGATATTGAGGGTAAGAACTATTTATTCTGCACTTGTATCCTGAATGTTTCATCATAGAAAATAATCATCTTTTATTTTAAATAATAGTTTGGCCAAAACACAATTTAGTGCAATAATAATTTATTTACTTTGGTATCTATTTAGAAAATAAAGTCAGAAGTGACGAACAAAATGCATTCATTTATCAAAAATCTGCTAAAATGGAAAGTTTCAATGAAATTGAAGATGAAATGAACAAACAAAATACATTTAATTATTATCAAAAATCAGCAATAATGGGTAAGCAAGATATGAACTTCACCTGGTTAAAAAAATTAATAATAGTTAGTTTGTTTTGCACGATTATTTAGGAAACAGTGCTAAAAAGGATAAGCAGAAGGTATTCATTCATTTTTAAAAACCTGCAGAAATGGAAAATTACAATAAAATTTGAATTGAAATGAATGAACAAAATGCATTCAATTATTATCAAAAATTAGCAATAATGGGTAAGCAAGATATGAACTTGATCTAATTAAAAATAATAATAATAGTTAGTTTGTTTTACACAGTTATTTAGAAAATAGTGCTGAAAAGGATAAGCAGAAGGCATTCATTCATTTTCAAAAACCTGCAGAAATGGAAAATTCTAATGAAATTGGAATTGAAATGAATAAATCAAAGGCATTCATTTATGATCAAAAATCAGTTAGGATGGATAATTCTGGAGTAATGTTTGTAGAGCTATTGACATTTTATTTATTTAATTTTAACTAACATGAGTCTCTTTAGAAATTTAGAAAATAAATTTCAGATGCCAAAGGGTTGA